CTTCTCTTCTCACGAGGTGGCCAAAGTATTGGAGCCTCAGCTTCAGGACCTGTCCTTCCAGTGAGCACTCAGGGCTGATTTCCTTAAGAATGGAGAGGTTTGATCATCTTGCAGTCCATGGGACTCAAGAGTCTCCTCCAGCACCATAATTCTGGTTGTCTTTGTCCATGAAGTTTTCTTGGCAGGGATACTGGAGTGGCTTGCCGGTTCCTGCTCCAGGTGGATCACCTTTGGTCAAAACTCTCCACTATGACCTGTTTATCTTGGGTGCCCAGCACGGCATAGTTCATAGCTTCTCTGAGTTATTCAAGCCCCTTCGCCACGGCAAGGCAGTGATCCATGAAGGGGTAAGAAGAACTTTAGGATCCATATTAAAGACTTTCATCCAATAGGTCTCGCCGATGTTTTTGTGAGTCTGAAGATGTTCATAGAATTAGTGAATCATAGAATTGTAGCATTGGAAGGGACCTCAGGGGTCATCTAGTCCAAGCCCCTGGCCACCCAACCTCTGCTTAAAAACCTCCAAGGAAGGTGAGTCCATCACCTCTTGAGGTGGCCCCTTCCACTGTCAAACAACTTTTACTGTCAAAATGTTCTTCCTGGTTTTTAGTCAGAATAGGTTATCTCAACTGATCATGAAATCATGGAACTTCTGAGTTGGAAGAGACCCAAAGTATCATCTAGTCCAACCCCCTGCAAGGCAGTCCAACCCCCTTCCCTCAACTAAATCCTCCATGAAGCATCTAGATGGTCAGCCAACCTCTGCTTAAAAACCTCCAGTGAAGAGGTCCACAACTCTCGATGGAGACCATTCCCATGTCCAACAGCTCCAACCATGAGAAAGTTATTCCTGAGGTTTAGTCAGAATCTCAGTTCTTGTAACTTTAATTCCTTGGTTCAGGACCTGCTCTCCAGAGGAGGAGGAGAAAGAAAGCTAGATGCATCTTCTATGTGACGACCATTCAAATATTTGAAGATGGCTCTCATATGGAAGATTCTGTCTCTGGTCAGCCTAACCTGACAGGTCAATTTCTCGCCAGAACAATGGACCACATGTGAGCATCCCTTGAGTCTATTGATAGGGCTGTCCAGATTTAGTAATTTCAAAATGAGCCTCTGCCAGCAAAAATGTCAGTATATCCTGGTGAGATAAACACTGATTTGATTAATCTATTATTCCTAGCGAGGCTAATGAAGGAGTTGGGCTTATGATTTGTATTACAAACTGATCCCATCTTTGAGATGCTGAGAGCCCATGGAGGGTCCTTGAAGTCCCCCTCTCTCCCTCTCCTCAGTGGCATAGCAAGGTCAGGTGGTACCCAGCGCAGAAAATTTTCCGTCACCCTGCCACACACATTGAAATTATTAAAAGAAGGAAAAATAAGAGACTGTAGCGGGATGTAATGGTTGCTGGTCATGTGTGCCAGCCCTGTGTTTAGCCTGAGCTTGGCATTTCATGGTGCCAGCTGGGTTATCTTGGGAAGGGAGGCTCCGAAAGAATGGGCACTGATTTATACCTTCATTGTCTATTCTGGGCACAATTTTGGAACGAGAACCTTGCAAGGAAGAGGAGTTTGAATCAGATATGTAGTGAGGAATGCTAAAGTAATTGACCCAACAACCCTTCCATCTATATCTGACATGTTTTTAAAAGCGCATTGTTTAATGCTCACATACAGATGAGGGAAAAACTGATGTTTGCATTCAGAAAGTCCTAAATTCAATCTCTGGCTTCGCTGAGCAGGGCTGCGAGACACTCCCTGCCTGAAACCCTGGGGATTTGCTGCCGTATTGAGCTAGGTGAGCTTAGTATAGAGCAAATGAGCCTGACTTGGTCCAGAGCAGGTTCCTATGCTCAGCTTCCTTTGAACCAAGAGCGGCGCATGCCTTGGTAGCTCAATTGGTAGAGCACGAGACTCTTAGCCTTGGGGTTGTGGGTTCTGGTCCCATGTTGGGCAAAAGTTGCAGGGGTTGGACTAGAGGACTTTTGTGGTCCCTTCCAACTCTATGATTCTATTATGTTGTAATTTCTGGACTCCAGCAAAATTTCACCAGAAGGAAAATAACAAATGCAGACAACTGCTGGAGATGTGGGAGTAAAAATGCAAACTTAGACCATATGATGATTAACTGCCCGATGATAAGATCATTTTGGTGCGAGGTGAGGATATATATATAACTAGAGAAATTTTTAAAAAATTGTTATTTAGGGGAATTTAATTTAATTCTAAATTATATACCAGAATTATATACCAGAAAAGTGGGAGATTACAAGGGGTCAAAAAAATGGATGTACTGTGCCATATTAGAAGCAAAAAAAAACCTGTTTTGATGAACTGGAAGAGCCGCAAAAAGATTCCATTGAGCACATGGATTGACAATATGGACAGACTAGCTACATACAAGAATTGCATGTTGACAGAAATTAAGAATGGATAAATATGAAGAAATCTGGAAGGAATACTTAAGCGATAAGGCGGACAGTGGTGGCAAGTAGGGGGAGGAGAGGTGGGGAAATTTTGTTAAAAAGGTGTAGTTATATGTATATCAGTACTCAAATCTGAATTGTTAAATTGTGTTATTAGTGTTATTGTGATTTTTGTTGCATGTGTTTTTTGTGGTTGTTGTTTGTATTGAAAAAATGATTAATTTTTTTTTAAAAAAAATCTGGGTTGTTTTTTTATACTCTGCCCCCCCCCAATCTGCTTGCCACTTCTCCAAATCAACCCCCTAAAATTTCCCCTTTGAATCCCGTGAAAGAGCCAAACCTTCTTTCCCCCTTCCTAACCCTGTTTCTGAAGCCGCTTCTCTTTTCTGTTCTGCAGCCCCACTTGGCACCCCTTTGGGTTCCCTTCCAACTGTACAGTTCTATGATTCCGTGGCCTCACATGGGGGCAGACTCTCCTTCCCTGAAGATCTTTAGGCAGAAGGTTGGCTGACCATCCCATCAAGGGTGCTTTGGCTGTTACGCCTGCAGTGCAGGGGGCTGGACTAGATGACTCTCGGAGTTCCTATGGTTTTATGATACTTTAGTAGCTGTTGCCACGTTTTTGTCAACTGGTGAGGCACTCTTGCACAATAATGGAACAAAAAAAAATAGAGAGTGGATGTCGTGGGGGTGAACCCAAAACATTTCTGGTGTGGAAATTTAATAGATTTCATTAGGAAGCTGGTGTGTGTGTGTGTGTGTGTGTGTAGTGCATTCTGGGCACAAAGGAAGCCATACAGTCGTACTTCAGGTTACAGACTCTTCAGGTTATAGACGCTGCAGGTTACAGACTCCGCTAACCCAAAAATCAGGTTAAGAACTTTGCATCAGGATAAGAACAGAAATCGCGTGGCGGCAGCAGGAGGCCCCATTAGATAAAGTGGTATACCTCAGGTTAAGAACATTTTCAGGTTAAGAACGGACCTCCAGAACGAATTAAGTTCTTAACCTGAGGTACCACTGTACATCCAGTCCACCCTGAAACTTTTGCAGGTGTAGAATATTGCAAGTAGGATTGGTTAGGACCACCCAGATACCCCCAGACCACAAATTGCCATGAATGCATAATAATAAAAAAGCTTCTAGAGGGGTCCTGTGCAGTATCAAACATTTTCATCACACTCGAGTTTATAGTGTAATATGATTCGCTCTCATATTCGAAAACTGATGTCCTGTGAACTGCAAGAGAAAACAAGGCATCTATATGGTGCTATTTGAAGAAAAAGCGAACTATTATGCATTTTGGAGGGTATTTTAATGATGAGCATGAAATAACTATGCAAGATGCCAGTAGATGGATCTTCCTGTAGAAAGCTGAGCAAACTGTGACTATTCTGCAAAGGTTTGAAGAAGGGAGATGCACTTAATTCGGTTGCTGAATCTGTATTGGAGTGCAGAGCGCTAGTGAAGTCCTTTCCTTTTAAACGAGAGTTATCCTCGAATCTCTGAAGGGCCGCCACGTGGAAGAAGGAGCAAGCTTGCTTTCTGTTGCTTCAGAGGCGAGGCCCCGAGTCAATGGATTCAAATGGCAAGAAAGGAGATTCTGACTAAACCTTAGAAGAAACTCCATGACGGTTAAGAGCTGTGGAGTGGACTCACTCAGAAGGTGGTGGGCTCTTCTCCTTCCTCAGAAGTCTTTAAACAGAGCTTGGGTGGCCAGTGATTCTTTAGCTGTGATTCTGTCCTTGTAGGACGTTGGACTGGATGACCTTTGGGGTCCCCTTCCAACATTACGATTCTGATTGGCTCTTCTTTCATTCCTGAGGACCAGATGGGTGAAAAAAGGAGACTTACGTTTTATGAGCGAATAAAGAAATCTTATGTTGCTTCTCAAGTTCGCCAGTATCTGTGGTTTGATTACAAAAATCTGAGCTGTACATTCAGTTTAGAAATTCACCCCGCTCCCCCTTTTTTTACCCTCCATTCAAACCTAGATGCCACCTTGCGAGGACAGCATCACCCAGAACCAAGCCACGGACTTAGAAAAAGGGGGACCTGACAGAACAGCAGCGCACCTTGATGTCGTTCACCTCCACCTTGCACTGAAACCCTTCAGGGTGAAAAAGGTGCCCCCCCCGAAAAGAAGTGGGAAGGTGCTGACTTCTTGCTGGCCCAGTGGAGAAAAAGAAATGGTTGGATTTGACATCCTTTGGTTCCAACAAGGGACCGCGGCTTCTTAGCCTTCCCCGTCTCTCGCTTGGAGTTCCTTCTGTCCAGTTTCGGCATCCAGCGAAATTCACTTTAGGATCAAAGATGCTCCGTTGCTTCCTTGGTTTGCCTAAAGTTAATCGCCAGGTAGCCCAGCGCTGCTTCCCAACAAACTGGCCCAAGCGCTCCCGACTCTTCTCTGGCAGGAGAGAAGCTTTTGCAGATTGCAAGGCGCAACTCTGCCCCCTCCCTCCCTCCCTCCCTCCCTCCCTCCCTCTCTCCTCCCTCCCTCTCTCCCTCCTTCTCTCTTTCTCCTTCCATTCCCCCCTTCCTTGTGAGGAGGACCTGGGCCAGGGCTCCCTCTCGCTCGCGCTCTCTCGTCACCACTTTGACAGCTTCGCACTAAACCAGACGCCAGGGCGCAGGAGGCGTCGCGCGGGGGCCACTCTCCTCTAGATTAGAACTCGGCTCCTGCTCCTCGACCGTCCCGTCCCGTCGCGGGGCTGCCGGCTGGAGAAGGCTCCCCGGAGTTGGAAGGGGAGGGCGGGGGGACGACCGGATCCCGACCCCAACCTGCCAGATGGTAAGCCGGGAAGGGGTCCTTTTGGGCAGGGTCTCTCTCTTGGGGTGGGTGGGTGGGTGTTTTCTGCGTGCTAACTCCCGGGATGTGCTGGCTAGCGAGCGAGGCGTGTGTGTCACTGTCCAGGGAGTTTGGACGGGCTCGGATTCCAGAAGCCCAATGGAGAAGCAACTCGGCAGTCCCCCCCCCACCCGCCACTCGACGTGGGCGCCTTCGGCAGGACGCCCGGTGAGAGAGGCGTTAGTAAGGGACCGAGGGGGTCATTCGCGGGGGCGCTTCCTGCGGGTGGTGGTGGTGAATGCTTTGGCAGAGTCCGCCCCGTCTAAGCCCGCCAGCTGCCCGCCCATCACCTCTAGGTAGGCACGTACAGGGCACTTTTTTGGGCAGGGGGCTGTGTGTGAGGCTTGCAGTTGCAAAGAGGGGCCCGTAGGGGAGGCAAGAGGTGCCCCCCCCAGCAATTTCCCACTCCAAGGGTGCCCCTTGCCTACCATCGTGAGGGGCACCAGGTGGAAGACGTGTTGTTGGGGGCGGGAGTGAAGCTGGAGGGTGTGTGTGTGCCTGAGGGTTTCAGACCTTCGTTCCGGATCCCGTCGAAGGGTCCTGGGCACGCAGCCCGACAGAGGAGCCCCCGCCCCGCCGTCGAGGGGGGTTTCTCCGCTCCTCCCTCTCACCCCACCCCTCTTCCTCTCTTCCTCCCTCCCGGCAGAGCAGCGCCGCGCCCTGCCCAGAGCTGCCGCCGGCCTTCGCGGGGGGCCCCGTCTGCGCCCGCCCCTGGGCCCACTCGACGTCAGCGGCGGCAAAGGTTGCCCCGGAGACGTGGCTCGACGCCGTCTGGACCGCCGCGGGACTCCTGGACGAGGACGAGGCACCGGGCAGCAGCAGCAGCAGCGCCGCCGCCGCCGGTAAGGAAGAGCCGTCCGACGGCCGGACAGGCGCGGCGCGGGCGCGGGCGCGCAAGCGAGAGGAGGCGGAGGAGCGCTTGGTCCTCCTCGGCGCGCCTCGGCCCGCCCCCTCCAGCCTCCTCCTCCTCCTCCGGCCGCTGCTCTCGCAGCTTCGCACTCTCCGTCGGGGAGCGCGCCAGGTAGGAAGGCGCTAGGGCTTCCCTGGCTCCCTGCGGCGGCGCTTGCATGCAGCGGGGACCTGTCTGCGGTTCCCAAATCAGTTGGAAGGGACCCACTTGGGCGTGGAGAAAGTGGACGGAGTAAAGCATGTCTCTCTCTCGCGTAACACAAAAACCCATGAACCCGAGCGTGGGAAGATCCAGGACAGATGAAAGTCCTTCCTCTTGCAGTGCATAGGTAACCTGTGGAACTCCTCGCCACAGGAGGCAGGGATGACCACCCGCTTTGATGGCTTTAAAAGAGGATCAGGCAAATTCATGGAGGAGGAGAGGGTTATAGATGGCTACTAGCCAAACTGGAGGGACACGGGTGGCGCTGTGGGTTAAACCACAGAGCCTAGGACTTGCCGATCAGAAGGTTGGTGGTTCGAATCCCCGCCATGGGGTGAGCTCCCATTGCTTGGTCCCAGCTCCTTCCAACCTAGCAGTGCGAAAGCATGTCAAAGTGCAAGTAGATAAATACAGGTAGGTACCGCTCCAGCGGGAAGGTAAACAGCGTTTCCGTGCGCTGCTCTGGTTCGCCAGAAGCGGCTTAGTCCTGCTGGCCACATGACCCGGAAACTGTACGCTGGCTTCCTCGGCCAATAAAGCGAGATGAGCACCGCAACCCCAGAGTTGATCACGACTGGACCTAATGGTCAGGCGTCCCTTTACCTTCACCTCTAGCCAAACTGGCTATGCTCCGCCTTCACATCTTTCCAGAAAACCCCCCTGATCTGGTACCAGCTAGAATCTTCTTTCTTGGTCTCCTCTCCCCTTTAGAAAACCCACATGGGATTTCACTTCCAGCATCAAAAAACTAGCGATTCCTTCACAGCAGCAATGCTGTGTGTCTTCAGTCTGACAGAAGAACATAAGAAGAGACTGCTGGACCAGCCCAAAGGCCCATCTAGTCCTGCGTTCTGTTCTCGTAGTGGCTGAACGATGCCCTTTATGGGAAACCTACAAGCAGGATTCGAACACAAGAGCAACTCTCCCCTTCTGGGGTTTCGAGCCACTGGCATTCAGGAGCATGGCTGCCTCTGACTGTGGAGGCAGAGCAGAGCCATCCTGGCTAGGAGCCATCGAGAGCCCTCTCCTCCTCTGTGAATTTCTCTAATTCTCTTTTCAAGCCATCCAAGTTTGTTGCCATCACTGCTTCCTGTGGCAGGGAGTTCCATAAGTTAATTATGCATTTTTAAACATTTATTTTGTTTTATTCTAGTAAATGATTCCTACACACACACACACACACACACACACACACACAAAAGCAAAACCTCAAAGCAGTGCCAGAACCATTCCCTGCCTGGAAGTCCAAAGCCTTTTTGACACAGCTGCTCAAGGGAATCAGAAAAGCACTTCTGCGATGCAGAGGCTCCAGAGCTTGACTAGAACCAGAGGGCGCCTGCCTCCCTTTCACCCACCGCCAGCAAAGTTAGGACAAGGACTGCAAAAATGGTGGTCTCTGCACCAAGCTGAGCAGAGGCTGATCCATCAGGTCAGATGGGGTTCTGCCCCACCAACCCCAGCTGGTCCCCACATCCTTGCTTCCATTCTTACAACCAGAGGATGGCTCTGGCGCCACCTACTGCTGGCCTCCGTCTCTTCTGCCCTATCTGTCTCTCTCTCTCTCTCCCATCTGGAGGTGCCTGTCTGGGGATCCTCAGGTCTGGACCGTTTTCACACACGAATACCCCATCCTGTAGAATTTCATCCTTATATTTTATCTGCACGATCAGAACAAATTTCAGGAACCAAAACGTTGCATTGAAAAATGTGATTTTTCAACTGCCTGGCCCCAAAATGGCAACTAGGCATTCTGTTTTGGTGACTGTAACCCAGGTTTAAGGAGCCATTTGGTGCCTAGCTTACATACCCGAGTTTCTGAATTCCTGACCTAGCAGGAATTATTTAGCTGTGATTCCTGCATTGCCCAGGGTTGGACTAGATGACCTCTGGTGTCCCTTCCAGCTGTACAATTCTACAATGGTTCTTCGTATGTTCTTCTATCTCCCTCCTCTGCCTTTTCTCTCTATACTGATTTCCTCCCTGGTATGTCTGGTCGCTCCCTGGTAAGCCTGAGGCTGTCAGCACTATCATGTCCCTTATTTTATTTTATTTATTTTATTTTATACTGTGGCTACTTCCTGTCGGCAAAGCATCACCAGTGATGACTTCGCACACCTGATTCTCGTGCACAGACCACTTTCCTTGCAAGAGAGCACCATCTCCAAGTCCCTCTTGCACCCTGGGCCCCTCTCCTTTTGCAAACTAAGCCCTGGAGAGGACTCCTTGGACTCTAAATGGCCCACAAGATCCACTTGCGCCTCTCCCCACACACTTGCCTCCCAGGCCAATTAACCCTTCTGCTCCTGGGAACAAATGTCATGGCGGCAGGAGTCCCGAGGTTTCTGAGCGGGGGCGAAGGGCTTGTGGGAACCAGCCCCTCAAGGGGCGCAAGAGAGGGGCTGCGTTGCCTTTGTGGTCTGAGTGGGCCTTGAAAGGTACTCCAGGCCTCTCCAGCTCCTCTTGGTCCTGGGATGCCAAGAACAGCTCAGAATGGGGATGTTTGGCAAACTGCAGCAGAGAGCTTGGTGATCAAGTATTATTTAGGGGACGGAATTCATTTTTAATGGGGAAAGAGGAAGGGGCAGGCTTTCTCTTGGGATGGTCTGTGCAGCCGCCACACTGGACTGTAGCTCAGAAGACGCCGTTGACACATGCGGCACCCCTGTTAAAGCATCTTCGCTGGTTGCCCACTTACAGAATCAAGGTACTTCTATTAATTGACCAAGCCCTGAGCAACTTTGGCCCAGGATGCCTGAACCCTGATATCCCAGCTCCATCACTGAGATCACCTGCAGGAGCATCACTCTGGAAAGCACAGGAGGGGAGAGTTGTTCTTGCGCTCAAATCCTGCTTGCTGGTTTTCCACAGTCATCTGGTCAGCCACTGTGAGAACAGGATGCTGCTAATGGATCCATTGGCCTGATCCAGGAGGCTCTTCTCAGGTTCTTAGGAGTGCCATTGGTCATTCCGCAAGTTGGCGAGACTCGTTCGACAACAGCGAGAAACCAAGTGTCTGGTGCAGTGATGGCCAAACTTGGCCCTCCAGCTGTTTTGGGACTACAACTCCCATCATACATAGCTAACAGCACTAGTGGTCAGGGGATGGTGGGAATTGTAGTCCCAAAACAGCTGGAGGGCCAAGTTTGGCCGCCACTTGTCTAGTGTCATCGGCCCAGCCCTGTGGAACTCCCTGCCACTGGAAATTCAGCAGACACCTTGTGTGCCAACTTTTAAATGCCTACTGAAAACTTTTCTGTTCCACCAGGCCTATGCAGGAGTATGCCCTTCCACAATGGTAAATTGATGTCTTTTTTTAAAAATTGAGACTTTTGTCTTGATCCATTAAGATCCAGTCAAGCATCTGCAGATATAGAATAAGAGAATTGGAAGGCACCCCAGGGGTCATCTAGCCATGTTCAAATATATAAAAGGATGTCATACAGAGGAGGGAGAAAAGTTGTTTTCTGCTGCTCCAGAGAAGCGGACACGGAGCAATGGATCCAAACTACAAGAAAGAAGATTCCACCTAAACATTAGGAAGAACTTCCTGACAGTAAGAGCTGTTCGACAGTGGAATTTGCTGCCAAGGAGTGTGGTGGAGTCTCCTTCTTTGGAGGTCTTTAAGCAGAGGCTTGACAACCATATGTCAGGAGTGCTCTGATGGTGTTTCCTGCTTGGCAGGGGGTTGGACTCGATGGCCCTTGGGGTCTCTTCCAACTCTAGGATTCTATGATTCTATGATTCTAGTCCAACCCCCTGCAAGGCAGGAATCTCAGCTAAAGCATCCACTTCTTCAGATAATACAGAGGAAAAATAAGTGAATGGGTGAATGGGTTCCCCGCCCCCCTTTGAGGGGAACCCAACATGCATGAAGGTCCCATTCATCCTCACATTCTTGTAACCCTCAATTCCAGCTCCCTGATTTCTTTGATCTCTCTCTTGCTGCAGATCAGTTCTGCAATTTGGGCATCTCCCTCCAAGGCGACGCAGGGTCTGGAGACCAGCTCTCCACGCAGCTCTACAGGAACAAACAGGTAACAATTGTGAGTCTACACCAGTCTGAAATTAGGCTGGGATTTTGATGCCGAAAACCGGGGTTTATTTATTGCAGCTGAAGGATGCATGAGAACATCAGTTTAAGCAATGCTGGCCAGTGTTGCAGTGCAGATCTTACATGCTCACCTGCCCCAAGGTATAAAATGCAGCTGGAATGACTTTTGAAGGGGACCCTTTCATTTCTCTTGCCTTGTTGAAATCCCCTCTGAAAATGGAGAAGGAGATGAACTGGTAACCCCGCATTGTGATGGAGCTAATCCTGTGTGTTTAATCCCTGCGCATTGTTCGCTGTTGACTTTCCCCTCCCTCCTCCACACATTTTTGTGCCTTTGTGGTTACGTTTTTCAAAGGAATCTCCTCAAATACACAGCGAGAGAATAGAAAAAGTCAGAAGTGAGGCTGGGACAGTCGTACTCCTGATCTCCTTGGCTCCCTCGGGTTCCCTCCGGGGTGTCGGGTTCCAAAGGCACCCGTGCATAGTTAGCAGTTTGGGTTACAGGGCTGCGGAGCTTTCCGTCCTCACCCTTCTCTGTGTTTCGCAGCTTCAAGACACCCTCTTGCAGAAGGAGGAAGAGCTGGCCAGGTTGCAGGAGGAGAACAACCACCTCAGGCAGTTCCTGAACTCCGCTCTGGTCAAGCAGTTAGAGGAGAAAACCAAGGTAACCAGGGCAGGGAGAAGGAGAGAGGCGAGAGAGAGAGATCACAGTCTATGTGACATAGCCACGTGGCCCATTCAGAACATAAGAATGTTCTTTGTTCTACAGTGGTACCTTGGTTCTCAAATGGCTTGGTTCCCGAACAAATTGGCTCCTGAATGCTGCAAACCCGGAAGTGAGTGTTCCGGTGTGCAAATGTTTTTCGGAAGCCAAATGTCCGATGCAGCTTCCACAGCTTCCGATTATGTGCAGGAAACTCCTGCAGCAAATTGGAATCCGCGCCTTGGTTTTCGAACCCTCTTGGGAGTCGAATGGACTCCCAGAATGGATTGAATTCGAGAACCAAGGTACCACTGTATTTCTGTACTCCAGGCATAACTTTATAAACTTCTGTCCTGCTACTCTTAGTTGCCTTGCCTCAAAACTAAAATGTCCCAAATGCTGATCTTTCCTCACTTCGTTCCCTTGATCATTTTTGAGGTGAGGGGAGCAGAAATGGGGTTGCACCATAGATTTGCATAATGGCATTACGATATTGGCAGTTTTATTTCCAGTTCCTTTCCAAATTTACCTGGAGACCCTCCAGACTTCCTTTTCATTGCACATCCATGATGATTTGTGCTCAGGGTGCTTTTGGGGCTGTTACACACAATCCCACTTTCAGAACTGTTTGCGCCTGCAAAAGTTCTGGGATGTCCATACCGCTTCATTTCCAGTTGATGGTTGCCCTGTAATGCCCTGCTGAAATCCTGTAAATGTTGTTGTTGGGATCTGTCTGTCTTTTGCCGTGCTATAGCGCTTCCAGACAGCAGGAATCTCGTAGCATTGGAGTAGCATCACAGAACACTCAGTAAAGCAGCATAAATTCACCCCAATGTACTATTTCCTGCATCAAGAACATGTTACAGAAGACACACACCAGGAAACACCAGGCCCTTAAAATTTGATGAATCCTGTGCATCTTCCACTCCCCAGCTAGTGTTGTGATTCGTCCCACCCTGTGACAACTTTTCATAGCTAACAAGGGCAGAATTGGAGTCACAGGGCTTAGGTAAACCTGGTGTATTTGAAACAATAAAAAATAAAAAATACATTCCTTCCAGTAGCACCCTAGAGACCAACTAAGTTTGCTATTGGTATGAGCTTTTGTGTGCATGCACACTTCTTCAAGATACATGAACACGAAAGCTCATACCAATAACAAACTTAGTTGGTCTCCAAGGTGCTACTGGTGACGCTGGTGGCGCTGTAGGTTAAACCACAGAGCCCAGGACTTGCCGATCGGAAGGTCGGCGGTTCGATTCCCCACGACGGGGTGAGCTCCTGTTGCTCGGTCCCTGCTCCTGCCAACCTAGCAGTTCGAAAGCACGTCAATGTGCAAGTAGATAAATAGGCACCGCTCCGGCAGGAAGGTAAACGGCGATTCCGTGCGCTGCTCTGGTTCACCATAAGCAGCTTAGTCATGCTGGCCACATGACCTGGAAGCTGTACGCCGGCTCCCTCAGCCAGTAAAGTTAGATGAGCACCGCAACCCCAGAGTCGGTCACGACTGGACCTAATGGGCAGGGGTCCCTTACCTTTACCTTTAAGGTGCTACTGGAAGGAATTTTATTTTATTTTTTTTGTTTCGACACCGCAGACCAACACGGCTACCTACCTGTAACTGGTGTATTTGGTTAGGCAGACTCCCCCTTCCAGCCTCTTACGCTTATAAACTGCACAATATTCTCAGACTTGCTCATCAGATGTTCTCTGCCCCCCTCTCTCTGCTGCCCTCTCAAACAGAAGCTGCTGCGGCAGAGCAACCAGAAATCTCACAGCCCTCTCCAGAGTGGCAAGCGGAGGCTGAGAGCAGAAGGCCTTCCCCTTCCTCGCGAGGCGTCCCACCCACAGAAGGCCAGGCGGAATCTGCTGGGCTCTTTCTCCGCCTGCGAAGAGCCACGCGACCCCCACGTGGACAGCTGGGTCCTCCGGACGCTGGGCCTCAAAGACCTCGACACGATTGACGAGTCGCCTGCTTCAGCTAACTACAGTGCCTTGACCCCGGAGCTTCCTCTGCGCTCTTTCATTGAGGTCCCACCTGAGGCAACAAACTTTGGGTGCAATGAGAGCCAGCCAGCTGTTTACAGGTGTGCAACTTCGCTGTCCACGGACAGGACGGGCGCCATGAGAGAAGAGCCTGTGGCTCATGCACCCGACCTGCCTTGCCATTTCTCACTGCCTGAGAACAACTATCCTCCACTGCCTTGTGGGCTGCCCTGCTGCTCGGACGCCTCTCCCACCCCAACGGACGTGGCTTTCACCACCTCCTTGAGTCCCCACTGCAACGTCAAAACGCACACCTTCCGCCAGGGACAGGCTTTCGTGCGCCGGGATGAGGATGGAGGGTGGAAGCTGACTTGGGTACCCAAGCAGCCTGAGTGAAGGAGCTACGTATTCCCTGTCCATCCCCCAAACCCCAAACCCACCTCAGCACTGCCAGGAAAACAATGTGTTTACAGATTAAGAGTGATAAAAAATATTAAAGGCCCTATTGCATTTCTGTTGAGAATGGGAGGGCCTGGGATTATCGTTGCTACTGCTAGTCTGAGATGTAGCTGTGGAAGTCTAGCTCACTGTCCAGAGGCAAATTGCAGCCACCCATCTATGGATCAAGGCTGATCGATGCGGACAGTCAAACCACGAGCAGTGAGCAGGTGGACGGCAGGCAGGTGATGCTCTGTGCAAGTTTGCAAAGCTACATGGCTCCTGCCAGAAACCTTTTCATCTTCCCTCCAACTCCCTCCCATGTGCCCCCCCCAAGGAGTTTGAGAGCTCCATTTGCTCGGGGTGTGTGTGTGTGTGTGTGTGTGCAACTTTGTGATTTCTATCCAAGGAGAAGGCCTCCTCTTCAGACCCAGAAACCTTGCCATGTTCTATAGCTTGCCCGGCGGCTAACAATGGCAATCCATTTTGCACATGCTCAGAGGCGCTCTCTACCTGCTGCTGGGCCCTAGGCTCAGCCCTAGAGATCCATGGGTCAGATGAGCTTTGGCAGCGGCAGGCAATGAAGTCCCCAAAGCACTGCCCGCATGGGTGCCTGCCTGCTTGCCCCGTGCTCATTCTGGAGCAGGGAGAGGCAAGATGCGTCCCACCAGCTGCACTTTCCTCCGCTGCCGCCTGAAGAAGAGCCCTGAAGTCTTGCCAGAAAATGAGCTGCTCCAGTTGAAGGACAACTTGGTTCCTCCAGCATTGAAGGACTTGGCTTTTCCATTTCATGCCACCTACTTCCCCCTCTATTGGTGCTGCCCTGCCCCATTACTGCTTTGCCACAAATGGATTGCTCTCCTTCCACCCAGAGCCGTGTGTGTTGGGGGTGTCATGTTTAACAGCCCATGGAGAAGTTAGTGGAGGCCTGGGTGTCAGTGCAGGAAGATGTAAGACGAGCCCTAAAACCAAAGCATGGAGAACATCAGAAGAAGCTGCTGGATCAGGCCAGAGGGAGCCCACCTAGTCCAGCACCCTGTTCTCACAGTGGCCAACCAGATGCCCCAATGGAAAGGATGCCCCAAGCAGGATTCGAACACAAGAGCAACTCTCCCCTCCTACGGTTTCCAGTAACCAGGATTGAGAAGCATCGCTGCCTCCAACTGTGGAGGCAAGGAGATTCCACCCTGCAAAGAACTGAGAGTGCAGTAGTCAGTTCCCTGTGGAGAGACACTGCCAGGTCAGTTGCCGTTGGGTCGCTGAAATGCAGTTTCTTCTTTTCTGCTGCTAATTGTTCAGTTTCCAGAATTCATTGCAGCTGCGTCGTTGTGACCAGAGCACATTGCTCCCACAGCCAGAAATGCCCTACTGTAGCAAAGGATGGTTTAGCTGGAAGGGATCTGGGTCTACTCTGAGCCGGTACAAATGTGTAATCCAGCCCTGACCACTCACATCACCTCCGGCTGGAGGCACTGCCAGGGCCACAGAAATCAGTGCCACGGCTGCATGAGAATAATGGCAGAGGAGCTGACTCCCCATCAAAGCTGAAACAGAATTTGGCACAGCTATTTCTCCCCTCCGGCCCCAGCTCAAATCAAGAATTTTGAGTTTTTCCAAATTTTGAGTGTGAAATGCAATTTTATTTCTTTGCTTCTCTTTTTGTTTTTTAGCCACACTACTGACACATCGTAAGGCAATTATGTTAAACGTTAACTTTCCAGATTCACCATTAACTTTGCTTTGTTTCTAACGTCACTAAATCCAAAAATGTCAATCAGTGAGAATACTTGGGGTGGGGGAGGTCTTAAATTAGGATAACAGAAACTCATCTTTCCCTTCTTCAGGGAAATTCCAGAATTCTTCCAGATAAGTTCCAGTTCTGCTTCACATTGCTGTTCACAACACAAACAGGTTGTAGAGCAATTGGTGTGTCCGGAACATCTTCGTTCACCTTAGTCATCATGCCAGACTTGAAAAGGCTCCACACCCCTCGTTCTCCTAAATTTGTTCTGAAGTGGAACCTAATTCTCTGTAAGCTGATCGACCTGTATTTGGGCTGTACATTGCAGAATGTGGATGGCAACCGTCGTAACTGAACGCTTCCCTGTATGCAAGTGTTCCTGGCACTTAGACAATTAGAGCTGTTCTCCTTAACATGTGTAGGGACTAGATTCAGGTAGGTAGCCGTGTTGGTCTGACACAGTCGAAATATATAAAAAATGAAAAAAATTATCCAGTAGCACCTTAAAGGTAAAGGTAAAGGACCCCTGACAGTTCAGTCCAGTCGCGAACAACTCTGGGGTTGCGGCGCTCATCTCGCTTTACTGGCCAAGGGAGCCAATGTTTGTCCGCAGACAGTTTTTCCAGGTCATGTGGCCAGCATGACTAAGCCGCTTCTGGTGAAACCAGAGCAGCGCATGGAAACCCACCAGAGTGGTACCTATTTATCTACTTGCACTTTGACGTGCTTTTGAATTGCTAGGTTGGCAGGAGCTGGGACCGAGCAACAGGAGCTCACCCCGTCATAGGGATTTGAACAGCTGACCCTCGAACTGCTGACCTTCCGATCGGCAAACCCTAGGCTCAGTGGTTTAGACCACAGCTCAGATGATTAGCATATTCCTGTCTCATTATATATGCTAATCATCTGCATACTATCCCTTGCTTTCTCCTGTAGGACTAATTGCAGTTGTTAACAGTCTTCATGAGTCAATCACCCATCTCCTAAAACTCCACCCCACCCTCCCACTATATATAAGGGTCTGGTGACTTATGTTTCAGTGTATCTGAAGAAGTGTGCATGCACACAAAAGCTTAGACCCAGAACAGACTAAGTTGGTCTCTGAGGTGCTACTGGACAATTTTTATTTTTTAATTTTTATATGTGTAGGGATTGTGTGTGTGTGTGTGTGTAGAGGAATAAGGATCACGTGAGTCCCTTCTGCAGTCAAAAGCAATGTAGCCCAGAAGCAGGTTGACCTCCCCAGTGAGAACTAAGCCTAAATTCCATGTTCATTGTTCTCACAGTGGCCAAGCAGATGCCCCAATGGGAAGGATGCCCCAAGCAGGATTCGAACACAAGAGCAGCTCTCCCCTCCTACGGTTTCTAGTAACCAGGCCTGAGAATCATTGCTGCCTCCTTTCAACTGCCCACCACCCTTGTCTTGAGAAACCCATAGACACCCCATGAACGTACCCCATGTAAGAACAGGAGAAGAAGCTGCTGGATCAGGCCAGTGGTCCATCCATTCCAGCATCCTGCTCTCACAGTGGCCAAACAGGTGCCTCAATGGGAAACCCACAAGGAAGACTCAAGCACAATAACAACTTCCCCCTCCTGTGCTTTCCCATAACTAGCATTCAGGAGCGTTGCTTCCTCCATCCATGGAGGGCATAGTAGAACCAACCTGGCCAGGAGTGAACAAAAGTCCCCTCCTCATCCAAGAATTTGCCTAATCCTCTTTTAAAGCCTTCTAGGACGGTGGCCATCACTGCCTCCTGTGGCAGGGAGTTCCACAGTTCACCTTTGTAAAGAAGTACTTTCTCTATGTGAATTCTTATTATTAGAGATACAGTCATACCTTGGTTTTCGAACAGTTAGTTCTCAAATGTTTTGGCTCCCGAACGCTGCAAACCTGGAAGTGACTGCTCTGCTTTGTGAACTATTTCTGGAAGCCGAACGTCCGAAGGGGCTTCCGATTGGCTGTGGGAGCTTCCTGAAGCCAATCAGAAGCCGTGCTTTGATTTACGAACATTTTGGAAGTCGAACGGACTTCCGGAACGGATTCCGTTCAACTTCCAAGGTCCGACTGTAGTGGGGGCTGATCCTGGGAACTTCTGCATGCAGAGCAAATGTTTCCACAGCCTATGATCCTGCACCTCCACTTGCTAGCCGGAAGATGCACTCTGTTAATCATGATGATAATGACCCACATTCTTGGAATGCTGCAATGCCAGCAGCAATAAATTTAATTCAATGGATAATCCTGATTAATTTAACTTGATGTATAATATGTGGTTTGTTTATGATTTTTGTTTCATGTTTGTGTGTGAGAGTGATTTTTTTTTCTTGTGAAAAGAAAAGCCTCTATTACTTATCGCTCCATTCAGAAAGCATGTTGCTCTTCTGCGGACACATCATATTGGAATGAATGGGCTCAGCAACGTGCCCATTCATTTCGGGGGGCGGGGGGGCGGGGGAGAGAACTTCATGGTGGAATGTACCTGTAGTGATGTCTAATAAAAGTAACACATTGCTTGCCTTGGCCTGGATTTCCCTTTTCATTTCGATGCCAATTGATTTTGTGGTTCTCCATGTCCTAAAAAAATGCCAAGTGGATCATTATAGACTTTTAAAATTTAGAATGGCGCACTAAAATGCCAGCGAGCTAAAATAGGAAACATTTGATTCAGCTCACACAGAAAGGCAAACTGACCTAATCCACCCCTCCTGAAACAATGTGCAACTGAAACGCAGCCAGTTTTCAAAATTCACACTTCTCTGCATTTTGCAGTGCCAAGCAATGGCCACAGAAGTGTAGATTCTAGGGCAAAGCATGCATAGCTATGCGCATCTCAGTGACTGAAAAAAATGAGAAATGAAAATGAACTGACCGTGACACAGATTCACCCATCCCTAAGTTAAAACAAGCGTTCTCCTTGCTTTATTCCCAGCCCATAAAGGCAACCCAAGAATTTAAATACAGCAAAATGTCTGGAAGCCAGTCCTGATGAGGTCACCCAGGAGAGAATGCAGCCTTCAATTGGGATGGGCAAATAAGTCAATTTCGGTTTCTCACTTTTGCAAACTTGAGTTCACTTCTCCAAATGTCTACATCAGTTTGTAATTCATTTTTAAAGTCTGCCTGAAAAATTAATCAGCATTTTAATAGGAGTGTCTCTTAATACAAACATTTCTGTATGAACTTTCCCCCAATATACACATTTTCCCTAATATTTATCCTTTTGGTGAATGCAATGCATTTTTGCAGGTTGTTTTCCTGCATTACTTGGCTGGAGAACTTCTTCTCGGAGAGGTGGGAATTTTGAGTGATGGCTGTCGTTTCAGTTCATGCAATGTTTCGGACGTTCTCCTGCATTGTTTTGCAACGGCATCCTCCGATGGGCCGTTCTGGACTCTCTGGAAGGGTGGCTTCCCTGACAGGCTTCATTCCAAAGAGAATGGTCTCTTCCCAGGATGGCTGCTACTTCTCAGGACAAGAGGACAGAGCCGATAGATTGAAGCAGGAGTGGAAGAAGCCAATTCTGGGACAAATCACTTGTGCTTGACATCTGAAAAACAGCCACGTTACTCATTAACTCCTCCTCCTGGACAGGTTGTTGAGTAATTGTGGGCCAGGTGGGATCACAGGGAGATGTTCCTTCCACTGGAATGCAAATGGATTTAATTGCCCATCAAGAAGACTCAAGCTGCGCCTCAAACTTTGAATCCCTTTGCTCCTAGCACATCCCATTTGATGTCCAGCCCATGATTCTCCTTGATGATTTAATATTATTTTAACCCTTAACAGACATTCATTGATTTATGAATCATTGACAGAATGAAGGCAAAAGGCCACAGACAATTGCACCAGGTGTTGCAGGGTGGAGCTCAGTGAGGATGGAGACAGAGGTGGCAGAGAGCGGGGATGTCTCCCGGATAGCCTGTTCTTTTGGGATGCCTTCAGCTTTTGCCCAGGCACACCACCCAGCCTCAAGAAGTGGAGATCCAAACTGTTTAATGGGGATGAGAATATCGGGCACCGGGGGGTCTTTCAAACCAGGAGGAGTCTCTTATGCTATACTCCTGTGCCGCTAAAGTTTTTGCCTCAAGGAGCATCATTTGGTGGTATAATGAATGGATGCTGACCCCATGTATTCCTGGAATTGGGGGTTCATCTTGGCAAGGATGCAAAATATTTGCTACTATGAATAGTAGAGTTGGAAGGGACCTAGAAGGTCGTGTAGTTCAACCCCTTGCAATGCAGGAATCGCAGCTGATCCCAAAATTCAAAACAGTTTCCTTGTGGAATTCAGGGCCACTGAACAAGGTGATAATGTCTGCCTTAGATGCTTGCAAATTCATGAAAGAGGGTTGTTTTCATGTATCCTTTTACTTGCATATTACCAAAAAGTCAATATCGGTAATGATAACTGTATAGCTGGAAGGTGTGCAGAGGAGGGTGACCAGGCTGAAAAAGGGTCTGGAAACCAAACCTTAAGAGGAATGGTTGATGGAATTGGGTATGTTTAGTCTGGATAAGAGAAGACTAAGAGGTTATATGATTGTTGTTGTTTAGTCGTTTAGTCGTGTCCGACTCTCCGTGACCCCCTGGACCACAGCACGCCAGGCACTCCTGTCTTCCACTGCCTCCCGCAGTTTGGTCAAACTCATGCTGGTAGCTTCAAGAACACTGTCCCACCATCTTGTCCTCTGTCGCCCCCTTCTCCTTGTGCCCTCCATCTTTCCCAACATCAGGGTCTTTTCCAGGGAGTCTTCTCTTCTCCTGAGGTGGCCAAAGTCTTGGAGCCTCAGCTTCAGGATCTGTCATTCCAGTGAGCACTCAAGGCTGATTTCCTTCAGAATGGATAGGTTTGACCTTCTTGCAGTCCATGGGACTCTCAAGAGTCTCCTCCAGCACCAGAATTCAAAAGCATCAATTCTTCGATGATCAGCCTTCTTTATGGTCCAGCTCTCACTTCTTGTGAGAGCCATCTTCAAATATCTGAAGGATATGGAAGATGAAGTGAGCTTTTTTTCTGCTGCACCACAGCGTAGGACACAAACCAATGGATTCAAATGGCAAGAAAGGAGATTCAGAGTAATATTTATTATTATTTTATTTAGAGCATTTGGCTTTTGTGTAATCATTGAAAACAAGACAGTCCCTGCCTGCAGTAGCAGAACGATGGGCCCTGAGAACTCAGCCCTAACTATTGACAGTCGTCCTTAGAAATACAAATTGGCCCCCACTCTTGGCTCAGTTAGACCTTCTATTGAGTTTTGGAGGAGAAAGTTGCAAGACATTTGTGGGGTGGGGAGCAAAATTTAGGATCTGATGTCATAGGGTGGGCAGAGAGCAGTTCAGTGCCTCAAAGCTTTGCTCACTAGAATAATCAGAGCTCCCCTTGATACTTTAATACCCCCACCTCATTTAAAAAACGAGCTTCTTTGAAATGAAGAAATCTTGCCTCTGACCAAGGTGCTGAAAGCAGGCACTCTCCAGTACTGC